GGAGACCTGTAGTTCATTAGGATTCTGATCACTGGCTTCTTTAATTAGAGGCTTGAGGAAGTTACTAGTTGTTGATGTGTAGCAGTCTTTATTCTGTTGTGTATTCTTGTAATTTATCATTAGTTTTGTTGGATAGCTTTACCTTGGGCATTTATCTGTGTTTATATTTTTTTCCTTTTCTTGCCAAGAGCACTTAAGGTTTGTGGAAACGAAACTGGGTCGACTTTTTTATTTGTTGACTGATTACGTTCAATTGTGATGTACTGATAGAAGCTTATATCGACCATGATTTGATGAAATGCCAGAAAGATCGGCCGAAAAGCAAATGGAAAAAAACAAAATTTATGAAAAATTGCATTTGGCAGGGCTCAGGGCCAAAGTGGTACTAGGAAAAGTGGTTTTTACACTTACTGCTAATAGAACACTTCTAATTCCACCCTCCCTCATTCCTAAGTTTGTAATAAACCCTATCTTCATTCTAAAAAAAAAAAAAAACCAGTTTGTAAGTTTCATGACATTTAGGAAGATATCGCCCTTGTTTACCCACACAAATCTGAAAGTATTTGGGATACGTCAAAAATCGGAATGAGATCATGTAGAGCAATCATTCTTCTATGTTTGTTGTGAAAATAAGGTCAATTTGTTCATGAATATTGGCTCTATGGCCCCAAATAGGTAAATAACTTTCTTCCGTGATAATGGCCGATACGCGCGGCTGCCCAGGTACATGGGGAAATATTTTTTCCCCAAAAAATTTGTTTTATTTACACTTTCCGTAACCTATGAGTGTTTATTACAGTTAACCATTGTAAACCTGTTTTCTCTCATTATAGTGACTAGATACTGGGTATATGGCCTTGAGATGGGATTTGTCCAAGAAGTTCTTTCCTCTCAGGCATCATATTATGCTATATATTATTTGTTCTGGAGTACTTTTAATGTTTCTATGCTGTTATTATATCACCTTATGTCATATTAGATCAATTGTGAGAGGTAAATAACCCTTATAATTGATATTTGCGTGAGTATAGAATATTTTGTTGGCTGGTGTGTGTCTGCCATATCAGCACTATTCCCAGGGGATGTTCCTGATTGGTTCCTAGACCATATTAGCTCCGTTCACTCCTCCATGATCTCAGATGGTGAATTTGTATTATATTAGACGTAAACATACAAGAAAATTATAAAAAAACACGGAAAAATGCTGCGTCAGTGCGCATTCTACGCAAGGCACTGTCACCATGCCTGTTATAAGTGACTATAATTCCTTGTAGAAACATCATATAATGATGATAATTATACCAGAGTGTTGCCAGAAACTTCAGCTATTTTTTGGTAAGAATAGCTCAAGTTTTGTATTTTTTCAATTTTTTTTTACTCTGCGCGCCGCATAAGCGCCTGGGGCCTAGTGATGTCATAGGTCAGAGCACTGTAAATCAGACATCTTCCTTATTTCATTCCTAATTATTAATTTCCATGCACAGATATTGTGTGTAGGATATGGATAGATACCTGGAGTTTACCTGGAGAGAGTTCCGGTGGTCAACGCCCCCGCGGCCCGGTCTGTGACCAGGCCTCCTGGTGGATCAGAGCCTGATCAACCAGGCTGTTGCTGCTGGCTGCACGCAAACCAACGTACGAGCCGCAGCCTGGCTGGTCAGGAACCGACTTTAGGTGCTTGTCCAGTGCCAGCTTGAAGACTGCCAGGGGTCTGTTGGTAATCCCCCTTATGTATGCTGGGAGGCAGTTGAACAGTCTCGGGGCCCCTGACACTTATTGTATGGTCTCTTAACGTGCTAGTGACACCCCTGCTTTTCATTGGGGGGATGTTGCATCGTCTGCCAAGTCTTTTGCTTTCGTAGTGAGTGATTTTCGTGAGCAAGTTCGGTACTAGTCCCTCTAGGATTTTCCAGGTGTATATAATCATGTATCTCTCCTGCCTGCTTTCCAGGGAATACAGTTTTAGGAACCTCAAGCGCTCCCAGTAATTGAGGTGTTTTATCTCCGTTATGCGCGCCGTGAAGGTTCTCTGTACATTTTCTAGGTCAGCAATTTCACCTGCCTTGAAAGGTGCTGTTAGTGTGCAGCAATATTCCAGCCTAGATAGAACAAGTGACCTGAAGAGTGTCATCATGGGCTTGGCCTCCCTAGTTTTGAAGGTTCTCATTATCCATCCTGTCATTTTTCTAGCAGATGCGACTGATACAATGTTATGGTCCTTGAAGGTGAGATCCTCCGACATGATCACTCCCAGGTCTTTGACGTTGGTGTTTCGCTCTATTTTGTGGCCAGAATTTGTTTTGTACTCTGATGAAGATTTAATTTCCTCGTGTTTAGCATATCTGAGTAATTGAAATTTCTCATCATTGAACTTCATATTGTTTTCTGCAGCCCACTGAAAGATTTGGTTGATGTCCACCTGGAGCCTTGCAGTGTCTGCAATGGAAGACACTGTCATGCAGATTCGGGTGTCATCTGCAAAGGAAGACACGGTGCTGTGGCTGACATCCTTGTCTATGTCGGATATGAGGATGAGGAACAAGATGGGAGCGAGTACTGTGCCTTGTGGAACAGAGCTTTTCACCGTAGCTGCCTTGGACTTTACTCTGTTGACGACTACTCTCTGTGTTCTATTAGTGAGGAAATTATAGATCCATCGACCGACTTTTTCCTGTTATTCCTTTAGCAGGCATTTTGTGCGCTATTACGCCATGGTCACACTTGTCGAAGGCTTTTGCAAAGTCTGTATATATTACATCTGCATTCTTTTTGTCTTCTTGTGCATTTAGGACCTTGTCGTAGTGATCCAATAGTTGAGACAGACAGGAGCGACCTGTTCTAAACCCATGTTGCCCTGGGTTGTGTAACTGATGGGTTTCTAGATGGGTGGTGATCTTGCTTCTTAGGACCCTTTCAAAGATTTTTATGATATGGGATGTTAGTGCTATCGGTCTGTAGTTCTTTGCTGTTGCTTTACTGCCCCCTTTGTGGAGTGGGGCTATGTCTGTTGTTTTTAGTAACTGTGGGACGACCCCCGTGTCCATGCTCCCTCTCCATAGGATGGAAAAGGCTCGTGATAGGGGCTTCTTGCAGTTCTTGATGAACACGGAGTTCCATGAGTCTGGCCCTGGGGCAGAGTGCATGGGCATGTCATTTATCGCCTGTTCGAAGTCATTTGGCGTCAGGATAACATCGGATAGGCTTGTGTTAACCAAATTTTGTGGCTCTCTCATAAAAAATTCATTTTGATCTTCGACTCTCAGTCTGGCTAGCGGCTTGCTAAAAACCGAGTCATATTGAGACTTGAGTAGCTCACTCATTTCCTTTCTGTCATCTGTGTAGGACCCATCTTGTTTAAGTAGGGGTCCAATACTGGACGTTGTTCTCGGCTTTGATTTGGCATAGGAGAAGAAATACTTTGGGTTTCTTTCGATTTCATTTATGGCTTTTAGTTCTTCCCGCGATTTCTGACTCCTAAAAGATTCCTTTAGCTTAAGTTCGATGCTTGCTATTTCTCTGAGCAGTGTCTCCCTACGCATTTCAGATATATTGACCTCTTTTAGCTGCTCTGTTATTCTTTTCCGTCGCCTGTAAAGGGAGCGCCTGTCTCTTTCTATTTTACATCTACTCCTTCTTTTTCTTAGAGGAATAAGCCTTGTGCATACATCGAGTGCCACCAAGTTAATCTGTTCTAGGCATAAGTTGGGGTCTGTGTTGCTTAGTATATCTTCCCAGCTTATATCGGTTAGGACTTGGTTTACTTGGTCCCACTTTATGTTTTTGTTATTGAAGTTGAATTTGGTGAATGCTCCCTCGTGACTAGTCTCATTATGTCGGTCTGGGGCTCCACGCATACATGTCTGAACCTCAATTATGTTGTGATCTGAGTATATTGTTTTTGATATGGTGACATTTCTTATCAGATCATCATTGTTAGTGAAGATGAGGTCTGGAGTTTACCTGGAGAGAGTTTTGGGGGTCAACGCCCCCGCGGCCCGGTCTGTGACCAGGCCTCCTGGTGGATCAGAGCCTGATCAACCAGGCTGTTGCTGCTGGCTGCACGCAAACCAACGTACGAGCCACAGCCCGGCTGATCAGGAACTGACTTTAGGTGCTTGTCCAGTGCCAGCTTGAAGACTGCCAGGGGTCTGTTGGTAATCCCCCTTATGTGTGCTGGGAGGCAGTTGAACAGTCTCGGGCCCCTGACACTTATTGTATGGTCTCTTAACGTGCTAGTGACACCCCTGCTTTTCATTGGGGGGATGGTGCATCGTCTGCCAAGTCTTTTGCTTTCGTAGTGAGTGATTTTCGTGTGCAAGTTCGGTACTAGTCCCTCTAGGATTTTCCAGGTGTATATAATCATGTATCTCTCCCTCCTGCGTTCCAGGGAATACAGGTTTAGAAACCTCAAGCGCTCCCAGTAATTGAGGTGTTTTATCTCCGTTATGCGCGCCGTGAAAGTTCTCTGTACATTTTCTAGGTCGGCAATTTCACCTGCCTTGAAAGGTGCTGTTAGAGTGCAGCAATATTCCAGCCTAGATAGAACAAGTGACCTGAAGAGTGTCATCATAGTGTATTCTCCAGTCTAGTAGGCTCTATTATTTGCTGGTTTAAATTGAATTTTGTGCAGAGATTTAAAAGCTCGTGTAAGTGTGAGTTTTCATCAGAGCTGCCTCCTGGTGTTATTTTAGATTGGTTTTTGTAGACCTGGGTATATAATAAAAGTACATCTTTGAAATTTTTAATTAAATTTTGTCACTCAGCATCCATCATTGTTTTGGATCAAAATTTTAAATATGGTATTAACAAAACTAATTTTATTTTTTTTTTACCACTGGAAGGAGAAACATTAACCATCACTTATTCAATAGCTAACTTGCCAGAAGTGTGCGAACATTAGAGTTGAAATGACCATTGAAATGACATTATGTAAGTTGACCTATACAGAGAACAGTCTTCATAGTGAAGCAACCTAACTTGCACACCTGCTTGTACACCAGGTATTCAGAGTTACAAGAGGTCTGCAGCAGCTTGGGCAAGTGGTGCGTTCCAAGATGAGCTGGTAGAAGTAACGGTCCCTGGGCAGCGTGGAAAGCCAGGCACAGTGGTCAAGGAAGATGAAGAGTATAAGAAAGTTAACTTTGAGAAATTTAAGAAGCTGGCTACAGTCTTCCAGGTAAACACTTTGGTTACTTTGAATGTTTAGGGAGTTATTGAGATTGCTCCATCTTGAGTATTTCTTATAATATACCAGTACTGAAATGTTAAAAGAATACCAGTGATTTGGTCTTATAAAAGCATTTTTTTTTTTTTTCAACAAGTCGGCCGTCTCCCACCGAGGCAGGGTGACCCAAAAAAGAAAGAAAATCCCCAAAAAGAAAATGCTTTCATCATCATTCAACACTTTCACCACACTCACACATAATCACTGTTTTTGCAGAGGTGCTCAGAATACAACAGTTTAGAAGCATATACATATAAAGATACACAACATATCCCTCCAAACTGCCAATATCCCAAACCCCTCCTTTAAAGTGCAGGTATTGTACTTCCCATTTCCAGCACTTAAGTCCGACTATATGAAAATAACCGGTTTCCCTGAATCCCTTCACTAAATATTACCCTGCTCACACTCCAACAGATCGTCAGGTCCCAAGTACCATTCGTCTCCATTCACTCCTATCTAACATGCTCACGCACGCTTGCTGGAAGTCCAAGCCCCTTGCCCACAAAACCACCTTTACCCCCTCTCTCCAACCCTTTCGAGGACGACCCCTACCTCGCCTTCCTTCCCCTATAGATTTATATGCTTTCCATGTCATTCTACTTTGATCCATTCTCTCTAAATGACCAAACCACCTCAACAACCCCTCTTCTGCCCTCTGACTAATACTTTTATTAACTCCACACCTTTTCCTAATTTCCACACTCCGAATTTTCTGCATAATATTTACACCACACATTGCCCTTAGACAGGACATCTCCACTGCCTCCAACCGTCTCCTCGCTGCTGCATTTACTACCCAAGCTTCACACCCATATAAGAGTGTTGGTACTACTATACTTTCATACATTCCCTTCTTTGCCTCCATAGATAACGTTTTTTGACTCCACATATACCTCAATGCACCACTCGCCTTTTTTCCCTCATCAATTCTATGATTAACCTCATCCTTCATAAATCCTTCCGCCGACACGTCAACTCCCAAGTATCTGAAAACATTCACTTCTTCCATACTCCTCCTCCCCAATTTGATATCCAATTTTTCTTTATCTAAATCATTTGATACCCTCATCACCTTACTCTTTTCTATGTTCACTTTCAACTTTCTCCCTTTACACACATTCCCAAACTCATCCACTAACCTTTGCAATTTTTCTTTAGAATCTCCCATAAGCACAGTATCATCAGCAAAAAGTAACTGTGTTATTTCCCATTTTGAATTTGATTCCCCATAATTTAATCCCACCCCTCTCCCGAACACCCTAGCATTTACTTCTTTTACAACCCCATCTATAAATATATTAAACAACCATGGTGACATTACACATCCCTGTCTAAGACCTACTTTTACCGGGAAGTAGTCTCCCTCTCTTCTACACACCCTAACCTGAGCCTCACTATCCTCATAAAAACTGTTTACAGCATTTAGTAACTTACCACCTATTCCATATACTTGCAACATCTGCCACATTGCTCCCCTATCCACTCTATCATATGCCTTTTCTAAATCCATAAATGCAATATAAACTTCCCTACCTTTATCTAAATACTGTTCAGATATATGCTTCAATGTAAACACTTGATCTACACATCCCCTACCCACTCTGAAACCTCCTTGCTCATCCACAATCCTACATTCTGTCTTACCTCTAATTCTTTCAATTATAACCCTGCCGTACACTTTTCCTGGTATACTCAATAAACTTATTCCTCTATAATTTTTACAATCTCTTTTGTCCCCTTTCCCTTTATATAAAGGGACTATACATGCTCTCTGCCAATCCCTAGGTACCTTCCCCTCTTTCATACATTTATTAAACAAAAGTACCAACCACTCCAACACTATATCCCCCCATGCTTTTAACATTTCTGTCATGATCCCATCAGTTCCAGCTGCTTTACCCCCTTTCATTCTACATAATGCCTTGCGTACCTTCCCCACACTTACATTCTGCTCTTCTTCACTCCTAAAAGATGGTATACCTCCCTGACCAGTGCATGAAATTACCGCCTCCCTTTCTTCCTCAACATTTAAAAGTTCCTCAAAATATTCTCGCCATCTACCTAATACCTCTAATACCTACCTAATACATCTACTAACTCCCCTACTCTGTTTTTAACTGACAAATCCATACTTTCCCTAGGCTTTCTTAACTTGTTTAACTCCAAAATTTTTTCTTATTTTCATTAAAATTTCTTGACATTGCCTCTCCCACTCTATCATCTGCTCTCCTTTTGCACTCTCTCACCACTCTCTTCACCTTTCTTTTACTCTCCATATACTCTGCTCTACTTATAACACTTCTGCTTTGTAAAAACCTCTCATAAACTAACTTTTTCTCTTTTATCACACCCTTTACTTCATCATTCCACCAATCACTCCTCTTTCCACCTGCCCCCACCCTCCTATAACCACAAACTTCTGCCCCACATTCTAATACTGCATTTTTAAAAACTATTCCAACCCTCTTCAACCCCCCCACTACTCATCTTTGCACTAGCCCACCTTTCTGCCAACAGTCGCTTATATCTCCCCCGAACTTCCTCCTTCCTTAGTTTATACACTTTCACCTCCCTCTTACTTGTTGTTGCCACCTTCCTCTTTTCCCATCTACCTCTTACTCTAACTGTAGCTACAACTAAATAATGATCCGATACATCAGTTGCCCCTCTATAAACATGTACATCCTGGAGCCTACCCATCAACCTTTTATCCACCAATACATAATCTAACAAACTACTTTCATTATGTGCTACATCATACCTTGTATATTTATTTATCCTCTTTTTCATAAAATATGTATTACTTATTACCAAATCTCTTTCTACACATAGCTCAATTAAAGGCTCCCAATTTACATTTACCCCTGGCACCCCAAATTTACATACTACTCCCTCCATAACATTTTTACCCACTTCAGCATTGAAATCCCCAACCACCATTACTCTCACACTTGATTCAAAACTCCCCATGCATTCACTCAACATTTCCCAAAATCTCTCTCTCTCTCCTCTACACTTCTCTCTTCTCCAGGTGCATACACGCTTACTGTAACCCACTTTTCATATCCAATCTTTATTTTACTCCACATAATCCTTGAATTAATACATTTATAGTCCCTCTTTTCCTGCCATAGCTTATCCTTCAACATTATTGCTACTCCTTCTTTAGCTCTAACTCTATTTGAAACCCCTGACCTAATCCCATTTATTCCTCTCCATTGAAACTCTCCCACCCCCTTCAGCTTTGTTTCACTTAAAGCCAGGACATCCAGCTTCTTCTCATTCATAACATCCACAATCATCTCTTTCTTATCATTTGCACAACATCCATGCACATTCAGACTTCCCACTTTGACAATTTTCTTCTTATTCTTTTTAGTAATCTTTACAGGAAAAGGGGTTACTAGCCCATTGTTCCCGGCATTTTAGTTGACTTTTACAACACGCATGGCTTATGGAGGAAAGATTCTTATTCCACTTCCCCATGGATATAAAAGGAAAAGTAATAAGACCAAGAACTATTAAGATAAAATCAAAGAAAACTCAGATGAGTGTGTATAAATAAACGTGTACATGTATGTGTAGTGTGACCTAAGTGTAAGTAGAAGTAGCAAGACATACCTGTAATCTTGCATATTTATGAGACAGACAAAAGACACCAGCAATCCTACCATCATGTAAAACAATTATAAAAACATACCTACATATATTGAAATTTAATAAAACATACAATAATGAAAATTTAACAAAAATATCAATGTATTAAGCTTTATAAAACATGCCAATCCACAATTTTTAAAATACAGTTGTACTGAATTGTCGTATCTGATCACATCTGCAAGACATTGATTATGTGTGAGTGATGATGAAAGTGTTTCTTTTTTGGGTCACCCTACCTTGGTGGGAGATGGCCGATGTGTTAAAAAAAAAATTGTACTGGCTAATGCACACTTTTTACTAATTAGCTGTTGTGTTATCCTCTGGAATTACTAAGTGTTAATAATAAGTGATGTTACTGTACCATTAAATGAGTAGTGTACAATCATGATGGGTTGGTGATGGTTGTACTGGTGACAAAAATGAAAATACACTTGTAGGAGAATGGATCTTTATTGGTACAAACTTTCATTCTTAAATGCTTTCCTGAGAGTGAAACATTGTCCTAGTAAACCTTTCTGTTACATGCCTCTATCTTCATGATTAGTTGAACTAATATATTATTTTAGTTTGTTTTGTACCTGTGGCACAGCCTGGAGATGACTAGTATTGTCTGTTTCAATGTCTCCCTTCAAGAGGGTTGTATTGATGCTGGTTAAGGGATCTTTACATAGGGTTATTGAGTTAGCCTTCTCTTTTTTATATCAGATATGATTACCTGCGGTTCCTCAGGTGCTGTATGAATCTTGTGGGCTAAGCCTTTCCAATTTTATTTTATTATTTTATTAACACATTGGCCATTTGCCACCAAGGCAGGGTGGCCCAAAAAAGAAAAGCTTTCATCATCATTCACTCCATCACTGTCTTGCCAGAGGCATGCTTACACTGCAGTTATAAAACTGCAACATTAACACCCCTCCTTTCCAATAAATATAATAATAATAGAATGAGATGCTTGTGCAACATTGGGAATCTTTATTTGGCCAACCAGTGGCTTCTTCAGTCCAACATAGAGAAGAGTGGTGGAAGATGAAGAGGAGAGTGAGGTAATCAAACCCTCAGCCACCATTCTTCTCTGAAGAATCCACTGGCTGGTGAAATGTTTCCTCAGTAAAGGTTCCCAGATGTTGCACAAGTGTCTCTTTCTTCAACTTGTTGGTTTTCTAAACCATTTACATCATATGGGTAGAAGGAGGGGGGGATAAAAGAAGTTTTGTGTGCAAGGGGCTTGGACATGTAACAGGCATGTGTGAGCATGTTAGATAGGATTGAATGGAGACAAATGGTTTTGGGACCTGATGAGTTGTTAGAGTGTGAGGAAGGTAATATTTTGTGAAGGGATTCAGGGAAACCAGTTAGCTGGACTTGAGTCCTGGAGGTTGAAAGTACAATGCTTGCACTTTAAAGGAGGGGTTTGGGATATTGGCTGTCAGGAGTGACTTCTAATCTGTTAAATCTGGGCCCCTTTGCACAGACAGTGATTGTGTGAATGATGGTGAAAGTGTTTCTTTCTTTTTTGGGTCATCCTGCCTCGGTGGGAGATGGCTGACATGTTAAAAAAAAAAATAATAGTGTCATGCATAAGGAGGAATACTTTTAATTGTAATATTTTATTTGGTATTTACCATGCAATTATTTTTTTGCTGTTCTTTGTCCACTTTGTGTAGGTGGGAGAGGATGCTTGGTTGTAAAAAGTCACCATGGGTGACTTTTAACATTCAAAATAAATGTACATAATGTTATTTAAATAACATTTCTGAAAATGCTTTCAGCGTGAAGGAGGCACGGTAACTGCTGGCAACGCCTCGACACTGAATGATGGAGCAGCTGCCTGTGTGTTGATGACAGCACAGGCAGCCCAGCGCCATGGTGTAAAACCTCTAGCTCGTGTTGTGGGCTTCTGTGATGCTGCCACTGATCCCATCGATTTTCCCATTGCTCCTGCCCTGGCTACCCCTAAGGTACTGCTACTTATCCTGCACTGGCTACACTTATGGTACTGCTACCTATCCTACCCTGGCTACACCCATGGTACTGCTGCCTATCCTACCCTGGCTACACCTACGGTACTGCTACCTATCTTGCCCTGGCTGCACCCATCCCATCAACTTTCCTGTTGCTCCTGCCCTGGCTACCCCCAAGGTACTGCTACCTATCCTGCCCTGGCTACCCCGAAGGCACTGCTACCTATCTTGCTCTGGCTACACTCATGGTACTGCTGCCTATCATACCCTGGCTACTCATATGGTACTACTACTTATCCTACCCTGGCTATACCCATGTTACTGCTACCTATCTTGCCCTGGCTACACCCATGGTACTGCTACCTGTCCTGCCCTGGCTACACCCATGGTACTACTACCTATCCTACCCTGGCTACATCCATGTTACTACTACCTATCCTGCCCTGGCTACACCCATGTTACTACTACCTATCCTGCCTGGCTACACCCATGGCCCTACTACCTATCCTACCCTGGCTACACATATGGTACTGCTACCTATCCTACCCTGGCTACACCCATGTTACTGCTTCCTATCTTGCCTTGGCTACACCCATGGTACTGCTACCTATCCTGCCTTGGCTAAGCTGAGAAGACTTTTTTCTTTGGCTAAATTTTTCCTCTTGCCCCCTAAAAAATCCCTCATATTTCCAACAATTTTTAGTGTCTTTTAACCTATAAATTCAAAATATGAGTTGAGATGATGCATACTAAATAATGTTGGCTAAGATTAAATGTTATTGTCTACAATATTCATTGTGGAAGATTGTAATGGCTATGAAAGTTTCTCAGGGCTAAACTATGAAAGTTTCTCAGGGCTAAACTATGAAAGTTTCTAAGGGCTAAACTATGAAAGTTTCTAAGGGCTAAACTATGAAAGTTTCTAAGGGCTAAACTATGAAAGTTTCTAAGGGCTAAACTATGAAAGTTTCTAAGGGCTAAACTATGAAAGTTTCTAAGGGCTAAACTATGAAAGTTTCTAAGGGCTAAACTATGAAAGTTTCTAAGGGCTAAACTATGAAAGTTTCTAAGGGCTAAACTTTAAGAAACTGTAGATAGTTGATATGCAATAATGACTTGAATTAAGCCAAAACATAGAAATTATCTATGTCTTTTGAACTTAGATTCCTAAAGTACAGTGTCAGAATATTGTGAACTAACTTACACAAAACAGTACAGACTCAATGATCCACATTTATTCTATTTTCCTAAAACCTTCCAAAATTAAAAACAATGAATTTTTATTAAAAAATTCAGCATATTTTTCACTTATTTACAGGAGGGCCAATTTGTACAGCTCTTAGATTCCTGACCCCGTACAATAAGCAAAAAACATTGGTGGGTGGAAAAGAGCAGTTTTTCATTATCGAATGCATCTAAAACGCCTGATAATGTGTATACACCATCATATATTAAGTGCTCAATACAGCTAGACTTACGAAAAACAAAGAGTAAAATAAATACATAGTACTTACAATACTTAACTTAAAATATGGTGCCAATTGTCCTTTCCTTAAGCAGCTGTTGTGCAAAAATGGCAGAAAAGCAGTAAAAGCTCCGAACATAATGAACAGTGGCTCAGTTGAAAGCCGGTGAAAATGTTTGACACCGAAAAGAGGGTGCTGAATAAGTGGGATCCTCCTGTATATGAAGTGATAAACCCATATGGGTCACTGAATAACCCATATGGGCTAATTTTGAAACACATGCACTATTCTGGCTGGCAGGTTTTCCTCTGAAAATTTATAAATTTCAGTGAAGTTTGTGGGTCTTGGTAGTTGGCTTACCCCATGTCATGTAATGCCTGCCTTGTTAACCTTTCCATTTTTATTTTTAAGATTTTTACACTTCGTCGTGTCCAAAGGAAGCATTTCAGACTCAAATTATACTTGTGTTGGTGCTAAGAGAAAATCAAGTGAAGATTTTGTGGTACTGGTGATACTAAGTCAATAATGATTGTTGTTTAATCCTTAAACTGTCCAAACGTAGATCTGCGTTTGCACGCGTAGCGCTTTGACCTTGATTTTCTCCATAAGAAAGAATGTAAATAACATAGATCTACGTTCAGAGCGCTTCGCAAGCGAACGTAGATCTACGGTTGGACAGTTTAAGAGTTAATACTGGTGGTGCTATATGGAAGTCAAATCATGATTGTGGTGTGGTGCTGATGGTGCTAAGAGAAAGTAATGCTTGTGGTAGTGTCACATCTGCACCTTGGAATCTCACCCTAAGAAAGCAAGCATCTCTTCCAACAGTACGGTACATCCCAAAAGGAAATGCCATAGTTCAGTGAATACACTTAAGAGACATCTCAGTCAGTGTATTGGGACCAAGACTTTTCATGCATAAGTGGAATTACCAACAGAAACCTATCCTAACTGGATAAATCACGTTCATCATAGGCACCATCACCCGAGGTGTGGTGCCTACAATGAACTGGGTGTGGCCAGCATCAACAGATTGATTGAATCAGGCCATCATCCAAGAGGCCTGGTTTGGTACTGGGCTGGGGAAAGAGCAGTGACTTAACAGAATTGTCAGTAGGTAAACTATAAGTAAATGGATGCCAGTGGTGCTAAGGAAAAGTCAAGTGATGACTGTGGTGGTGCTAAGAGAAAGTTAAGGAATGACACTTGCTTGGCTTGCAAGTGTTACTGTGTATAGAGTCGTTCCTCTGAATTTAGAGAGATGATTGTGGATGTTTAGATAGTAGGTTGGCAGACAACAACCACCCAGGGGGGTACTACCGTCCTGCCAAGTGAGTGTGTAAAGAAAGCCTGTAATTGTTTTACATGATGGTAGGATTGCTGGTGTCTTTTGTTCGTCTCATAAATATGCAAGATTACAAGTATGTCTTGCTACTTCTACTTACACTTAGGTCACACTACACATACATGTACAAGCATATATATACACACCCCTCTGGGTTTTTTCTATTTTCTTTCTAGTTCTTGTTCTTGTTTATTTCCTCTTACCTCCATGGGGAAGTGGAACAGAATTCTTCCTCCGTAAGCCATGCGTGTTGTAAGAGGCGACTAAAATGCCGGGAGCAAGGGGCTAGTAACCCCTTCTGTATATATAAAAGGAGAAACTTTCGTTTTTCCTTTTGGGGCACCCCGCCTCGGTGTGATATGGCCGGTGTGTTGAAAGAAAGAAAGAAAGAAAGAAAGATTGTGGATGTTATGAATGAGAAGCTGGATGCCCTGGTTTAAGTGAAACAAAGCTGAAGGGGGTGGGAGAGTTTCAGTGGGGAGAAATAAATGGGATTAGGTCAGGGGTTTCAAATAGAGTTAGAGCTAAAGAAGGAGTAGCAATAATGTTGAAGGATAAGTTATTGCAAAAAAAGAGGGAATATAAATGTATTAATTCAAGGATGATGTGGAGTAAAATAAGGGATGTGAAAAGTGGGTTATAGTAAGCATTTATGCACCTGGAGAAGAGAGAAGTGTCGAGGAGAGAGAGAGATTTTGGGAAATGTTGAGTGAGTGTGAGGGGAGTTTTGAACTAAGTGTGAGAGTACTTGTGGTTGGGGATTTCAATGCTAAAGTGGGTAAAAATGTTGCAGGGAATAGTAGGTAAATTTGGGGTGCCAGGGGTAAATGAAAATGGGGAGCCTTTAATTGACTTATGTGTAGAAAGAGGTTTGGTAATAAGTGATACATATTTTATGAAAAAGAGGATAAATAAGTATACAAGGTATAATGTAGTGCATAATGAAAGTAGTTTGTTAGATTATGTATTGGTGGATAAATGGTTGATGGGTAGGCTTCAGGATGTACATGTTTATAGAGGGGCAACGGATATGTCAGATCATTATTTAGTTGTAGCTACAGTTAGAGTAAGAGGTAGATGGGACAAAAGGAAAATGGCAACAGCAAGTAAGAGAGAGGTGAAAGTGTATAAACTAGCTCAATACATAGTCAATACCAAATTCATTATGTTTATTAGTTACTACAATATTTGACCAATGTGCATTAGCTATATACATGTCCAAACATCCCACTACTACAGATATCAGTACTAGAACTCACCATACTGTCTCACATCCCACTATTATTGTACAAGCGAGCGGCCCATGTTCTTTTGCATGCTATTTCATTACTTTTTAACAAGTCACTAGAAACTAGCACTTTCCCGACACTACTCAAGACAGCAAGGGTTACACCAATACATAAAGGTGGTGACCCCACAGATGTAAACAACTATAGGCCAATATCAAACTTACCATTGCTATCCAAAATCTTTGAGAAACTCATGCACAAGAGATTATATTAATTTATAACAGCACAAAACATACTCATCCCCTGCCAATTGGCTTCAGAAAAAATAAAAGCCCTAATGATGCAATTGTAAAAATGCTAGATCTGCTTTACACAGCAGTGGAAAATAAGGAATATCCATTAGGACTTTTTACTGACCTAAGAAAAGCACAGTAGATGACAGCATCCTACTCCACAAACTTGAACATTATGGTATAAGAGGCCTTGCACTTGCATATTTCAAAGCCTACCTTACTAATAGGTATCAGCATTTCACCATTAAAGACACAACCTCATCAACACGGCCACTTGATACTGGAGTACCACAGGGAAGTTTCCTTGGTCCCCTGCTCTTCCTCTTATGCATCAGTGATCTTCCCAACGTATCACAACACCTGAAACCCATTCTCTTTGCTGATGACACGACTTATGTCATCTCCCACCCAAATCTTGCCACCCTCAACACCATTGTTAACGAGGAGCTGCTCAAAATATCGACTTGGATGACAGCCAATAAACTTACACTTAACACTGACAAAACCTTCTATATTATGTTTGGTAACAGAGCAGGTGTTACACAACCTAACACTAAGATTGACAACACTCTTATTGCCAGACATAATGAGGGCAAATTCCTAGGCCTGCACTTCGACAGCAACCTGAATTTCAGCACCCATATCCAACACATACCAAAACAAA